TCGAAGGCTCCTTTAAAATGTGTCCTTCGTTTCAATGAATCCTTCACAGCCTTGCCTAGTGTTCATTGCGCTGAATTGACGCCAGGATTTTGTTGTGAGAAATTGAACGCATTGTTAGGTTTCAGCTCAACTTTTTCACTCAAATATTTTTGATACAAATGTAAAAAATCATTAAGCTGTTCAAATGTCCATGGTGAACATATTTAGACTGTTAAATGTTTTTTTAAAATATAAGTTTAATATAATTAAAAAAAAAAAAGTCTAGTGCAAATGTTACTGTCACTCATCAATGGCAGTTGTCACAGTTCTTTGTCAGTTTGGCGACAATAACATTCCTATGTAGGCTAGACTGTCCTATTAAACAACGATCGGTTTGACCTTCGAAGGATGCAGCCTCTGACATTGGGACACCTTATATTCAACAACTACATCTTATTCCGTGCCTAATTACGTCATTCCACCACCATTTCTACATCACTGCACATGCAATGTCTTATAGAACTGATTAGAAACTGTTCAAACCACCCTTTCCAATCCAAATTAAATTACAATCGAATTTGGCCACTTCAGTCCGATTGACATGGTTGGCTACATGTGACTTTTTATTTCAGCTGTGCTACTAGAATGATTATAAATGGATATTTAGACTGTTAGATTTGTGCTCACACCCAAAGTGCGTGCACATAAAGTATATTGGCTATATAAAACAGTATAATGGGTCCGTGCGTCAGTTCTTAAAGTGACAGTAGGCAAATATACCGGCTGCCAAATTATGAGATGCTATTAAAAATATTTATATGGTACTGTAATTAGTCCCCTATGGTACCCGTATCCAAATTGTGGCCAGTGAAAACGCTAAGTGGCTAGTAACTTTTGAAAACCACTAGCCACAGTGGCTGGTGAGCTAAAAAAGTTGACGTCAAGCCTTGACTACATCCCTCTGGACTTATTTCATTCTTCGTTGCGTGTTTTTTCCAACATTGACTGTCACAAATGACAAAAAAAAAGAACTTAGAAAAGACTTAATGGCTGATATCACAAAGTACTTTTGACATCCCTTATTCTTTTATTCGTTCTCTTTATTCAGTCCATCTGATTTGTTCTGACAATGTACTCTTTTCACACAGTGTGATGATGCATTTCCACCTTTATTTACTTTGGAAATTTAGCATCTCAGCAGTGACATTCACCTGATGAAGTGAGAAAGCCTTTTTTCTCTTTCTCCGCATCAGCTGAAATGATGAATCTTCAGGATATTTCCAGCCAAGCCCAAGAACAGTTGTCTTGCCTCTGAGTCTTGCATACAGAATGAAATCGGATTTATCTGCTGCTTATCAGAATCTGTTGGTTTGGCAAATTCTCTGATGTAGCCAGCTTCTGCATGAGCTCTGGGGTGATGGGTTCGTCTACACTGACACAGGAGACAAGGCACCAGGTAACCTGGACATAAAGGAGACTAGGACTGTAATGAGACACATCAAGGATCATTAATTAAAGAAGATAGTGAGAGACAGAAAGAAAGAGAAGTCCAACTTTTCTGGCCAGCTTGCCTTATAACAGCAACATGTCAACATGGAGCACCGCAGTGCAGACTCAGAGCTGCTAAGTTATTGATGGAGGTGAGCAGGTTCAAGGCTGTTATTTGAGTTCCTCATGCCACTTGTATATTGGATATATGCTCATCTGCCATATTATACCCATAATTTCAAGCCAAGAGCAACTATATTAAAGAGGTCAGAAGTGAATGAGTATTGACTAGCGATGCACAACATGTAGGTTATGAGGTTATAAAAAACCTAGCATTTCGAGATTAAAGTCGAAACTATTCGAGATTAAAGTCGAAACGATTCGAGATTAAAGTCGAAACGATTCGACTTTAAAGTTGAAACGATTCGAGATTAAAGTCGAAACGTTACGATATCATGTCTTCCATAGAAGTGTGTGCATTCATAACAGTGCGCATCCACTGGCTCAGAGCACGCGTTTGTGTGTGCAAATAAATGCACTTGTGAAGTCGAGCTGCCATGGATCAACAAAATAGTAGCTTTTTACTAAATTCTACAAATTTTGATATTCCACACAAGTGCTAATTTACCAACAAGTATTACCATGGCGTTGCCTATAGACGAGCGAACAAACTCCGCCAGAGTAGGTGTCACAAACTTTATGTGGCAGTGTTTTCGTGCTCGTCTAGGCAACACTATCTGGGTTGAGAACACATCAGGAACCGTTCTGTCTCCCTCTGCACTGTAAATACATTCTGAAAACATCTTAAGTGCATCATTCTGTATCCAATCATTTGGTATACATTTAACCATATACTAGTAAATGAGGCAAGGGTGTAGAGTTATATTCAAGCTATTTTAAGGCATGAGCATTTTTTTTTCCAAGGAAAAAACATTTAAATATGTTATGTTGAATGATCAAAGATGAATTTTAAGGGATGAAATTATTGACTACAGGGCGATGATTTTAATAGTTTCACTAAAAGTGCTTTTATCTGGCAAAATAATTACTACAGAAATGGGCTTATTAGTAGGTTTTGTCATGCTGAATCATTTAAAACATTCAAAAGTTTAAATATTCATCTGCTTTGGTTTAGATGGGTGTTTAAAAGGCTTGTCGAGTTCAGTAACTTGGTTTGTTTTTCCTTTTTTTTTTTCCCGCTGCTTTCATTTACATGGCTGTTAAAGGAGAGCTTGTTAATGAGCTGTAATGTTCGCTCGAGGCTACTCTTGTCTCTCCTTGGCTGCCCTTAACTTCAAGAGGGCATGAAAGCATGCTTTATAATCTGTATTGATATATTGAGTTAGTGTCACTTTTCATGGCACCTTTTCTCTAAGTCTGAATCTAAGCAGGATGTGCCCTCTGTTTACTTGGTGCTGAGAACCGAAACACTGTGGTAAAATAAGTAAATCCGTAATGGGCGCATATCACAATGTGCTGCTGTAAAGTGAAATATTAAGCTTTCTTTTGGAATTACATTAACTATTTTAGGAATTATTAGTATGATCAGGAATCATTTGCTGCTAAAGAAACATTTTATTATCATCAATGTTGAACACAGTTGTGCTGGTTGATATTTTGGTGGGAATTTCAGTAATATTTAGTCCAACATTAAGAAGATGAAATTGTAAGGCCATTTCAGTTTTTATGGCACATTTGTTACAAATTTTTACCATTTAGCTGTGTGATTTACTGCAGGTTTTGTGTGTGCTTCATGTTTGTTGCAAGTATAACAGGTGGACAGATGGAACTGAGTGAGAGAGCAACAGGAAGTCTGCAAAGAAAGCAACAGAAGCTGGCAAACGAGTCTGTCAAAACTGATTGATGATCCTTCATCTGTCTTGGAATATGTATGTTGTGTCTAAAACATTATGTGATCCATCCATAATTATGTGTAACCGCATGCAAGGATTGTATGGTTCATAATGGACAGTTTTTTGCTGTCACTGAATTAGTTTTACTACTTTCAATTCATGAAATTTTTAGGGGCGTTTACAAAGGCATATTCTTTGAAATCAGATGTTGTAATTTCGAGCTCGGGTCATTTCGAGGATGTGTGGCTCACTTATATTTTTGCTGTGCAGCCTGCATTTAAGCATGCTTTGTAAAAAAAAAAAAAAAAACAGAGTTTGAGATTTCTTTTGACATTTTTACAATTACAGCACTGCTAGTATTGCCATGCTGCCAAGAATCTCCCATAATCCCTTTGGTTTGGTCTGCACAGATCACACTGGGTCGCCTGACATGTATTGGATGTTTCAAAAACAAGTTTTCTCCTTCCTTATTTTGGTGGATTTATTAAGTGCTGTTCTACAGCTGTTGAATACAGATGTTGATGATTACGACAGAGTTTTTTTTCTAGCATCCTTACATTTGGTGTGTAAATTCTTGAATTACTAGACAGCAATCAAAACTGAAATATATACTCAGCTATTCTGCAGACTTGTGATGAATTTTATGTGCAATAAATGTTATTTGCAGACGTTTGGTTGAAGATGGTGTGTATATGTCTGTCTTCAAATGACTTACAGCTGAAATTTCACAGCTGTGTCCAGTCAAGAAACAACTCCCAGACTCATGCTGTTGATGTCTTTGGCTTTTACAAGAAGCATGTCAGTGTGAAGCCCAAGGCATTATCTTTTAAGTAGGTCACAAGGCTTGCAGGGTCCTGAAATACTGTAGGAACCTCACTGAGAATCCTGCCAACTTTCTAAAGTGTTCTTCTGGAACACTGTTAAATCATTGTTTTCTGACCGTGTCTGTCACTGTTTGTTGTGATTTGGGAATGATATTTTTTCTTGCTTATTATTACTTCTAAATTCCATTGTCTGTCTACACATTACACAATCTTCACACCTGTTTCCAGCATCACATATTGTGTTGTTTCTATACACACTGTAATTACAGCCTATCAGAAAATATTTGATGTTGAATGTACAGCAATGTGGAGCGATATTCGGACCAATGGGGTTTCACTGTGGGTGGGGCTACCTAGCATGACCAAATGGTTATGGAAACCAAATGACACTTGATGCTTGTCACTTTGATGGGAACGAATGTAATATACTATAAGACTAGTTGTACTATTAATGTGTTCTGTTATGTCCTAAAAAATGAGTAATCCATCACTTAAAATGTAAAACTAGTATGTATGTAAGTGAATTGTGAAATTGTTGTATTTTGTTTTATTCTAAAAGCTCTATTACAAATATAATGGTTTTAAATGTGCTAATTTCAACATTTTTTGTCAAGAATTTAAATTAACCATATGCATTAATAAAATGAATTAATAATTATTCTTTTTTTAATTTATGAATAAAAAATATCCTTCAAATAAATTAAAATAATTATATATTTAATTAAAAGAATTACTCTCAGAGCTGACATACAATCAAATCTGAAAATGTCTAAATTAAATATATTTGATTAAAATATCAGCCTTTTAACCATGAGTTCAGTTAATTAGTTATTTTTCTATTTTTCTTTTCTTCCAGGTGAACTTCGTAGTATGTCAGCTCTGTGCCCTGCTCACGGCCGTGTGGTTCAGGCTCTATCTGCACCCCAGCAAGACAAGTCCTTTTGTGCGGCATGTGGTGGCCACACTGCTGGGCATCTACTTTGCCCTCTTCTGCTTTGGCTGGTGAGTATTTCCATACTGACGCATCCCTCTGTGTGTCCACAAGGAAATTGAAACCAGCTTTTGCTTGTACTCCCTGCTGCTGGACTGCAGGATATGTGGTGGTGTGACTTTCCAGAAAGATACAACAAATGCCAATCAATACGAAATGTAGCGGTCTGTGAAACTACAGACATTTGATACAGAATAAACAAACAGCTTGAAAGCAATAAAGGGAGCTGAAGCTGACGTCAAGTATCAAATTATGTGGAATATTTCAGTTGTAAATGCACCTATATGACTCAAGGCCGGAATTTTTTTAAAAGCTGCAAAATGAATCTCATTACACCATTTGATTCATATCAAAGATGGATTTGAACAGTGGAAAACAGAAATACAAGTGAAGAATTTTTGTTTCAATTGTTTCATTATACAAAAAATTGCTTTTATATTTATAGTATAATCATTGAAATGTACAATTTGCAATTAGGCCTAAAAGGGTTTCATTTATTCATTTGTTTTTTGGAAACATTATCTTTTAGAAAAATCAATATTCAGAAAAAAATATCATGGCTAACTCACAACAAATGATTTATCAGTATTCCAGAAAAAACATCTGAAGGTTGGCATGACTCTTGTGGCATGTGATCCTCTTACATTTTTGTGTCCGATCATATAATTTCCTACCATTAAATTTAATGACATTTATTAATAATAATATTAATAATATATCCAGCTCATATTTTTAAAGAACATTTTTTTTAATTTCCAGTATATTTAGCTAAAAACCTTTAGAGAATTCCTGCCGATACTAACATCATTTCAGATACATTAGTGTCTGTGTTGTGAGATCACTATCAGGCATGCTCAAGGTTGTATTGATGAGTCAGTGGCGACTCAGATCTGGAACTCATTAACATCTCATTTAATAAGACAAACAGATCAATAGTCCACATTGAAAGATAGAGAGACTTCTGCTTGCTAATTAGTCGCATCTTTTCAAACGCTTATTAAAGTGTCTTTGTTTGTATTTGTGTGCGTTTAAGTGGTTCTGACTTAGATAAGCTTAGACCGTTCCCTTTGGTGAGTCTGGGTAATGGGCATACAAATTTGGCTCTTCAGTGAAGACAGAGCAAAAACTTTGCCAAGATTGTTTCAATAACATGTTGAATCAGCAAAAGAAAAGTAATAAAAAAAATATATATATAAATGCACCCACAGTGTGTATTTTATATATATATACACACACACACACACACACTTCACAAAAAAAAAAAAGAAAAGATTTTTCATGCTGATCCAGGTAATTTGCATTTACAGTAAAAAAAAAAAAAAAAAAAAGTACCAGACCTTTCCTGTATGAAAAAGTTCATTGGCTCTTTTAACCACAAAGTAGAACTATATTCCTACTGCTGCCATATTAAGCATTATAAAATTAAGAAAACATATCCACAAGTTTCCTACGCCCCATGAGGCCTTGCGTCAAAAGTGGGCGCGACTTCCGGTTGGAAGTAAACAAAGCCTGATTTGACATGCTTGACACTCGTTCACTCAACAGTTGACAGTCATTCAAGTTATAGCGATCCAAACTAGCTAATGATGTGGGAACACAACCTCAACGAAATTCAAAAGGGTGAAATAACAGTACCTTTACCCTCCGCAGTAGTTGATTGGGAGTATTATAATAACATTATTAATAATCAATACTCATCAAGGCATGGTGACAGACAGTTGTGCGAGCTGACAAACAAAATAAAAAATACACACTTAGTCATTGTGCTTTGGTCGGAGTTTATTCAAAATTATAAATGAATGTGCTTCTTGAATACATTAACTGGCACATTTGGTATTCTGTCAACACAGGCTTTGATCCTGAGTTTAGGTGTAACATCAGTAGCGAACAGCCAATCACATGCTGATAGAGTTTATAGAACTCTACAGGAAGATTCGTCGTCTTTTGGGAGGTGATGGAAACTACAGTCGTTGGCAGGATCAGAGACGGGCTCTGGCAGGATCACTCTGATTTCGTTTTCAGCTTATGTTCAAAACAATCACGTTTAAGCCACTGAATTAGTTTAGTCCGGTTATACATACAACCGTGAACAGCACATGTTGTCCCTGAGCTCCGTAACGACATCTCTCATAAAGATTTGCGTCTTTAAATAGTAAAATAATTCTCCGAAAAACAGCTAGTCTCTTCGCTAACTAACACACAAAATACCATTGGAATGCTACTTCCGCCGCGTCACCGGAAGTTTCACCCACTTTATTTTTTACAGGAGCGCCCCTCGGAAACTTGTGGATATTGCTTTTAGAAACTGCATTTTCTCTCTATTCTACAGGTATGCGCTTCATTTCCTTCTCCAGAGCGGCATTACCTACGGCATAATGATTCTGACCGGAGTCGAGCACATGCACAAGTGAGTCCATATTTTTACATCTTTAGAATCAACAGGCAACATTGAATTAATGTTTTTTTTACTTTATTGAAGACCCTATGAAATGGCTGGGCACGTACAGCATTTTCTGTAATCAGTTTGTTTTCACATAACTGACCCTACAGTTCTAAATCCAACTGCCAACTCTTTAGTTGCCATTTGTCTGGTTACCTATTGGGGAGAAACATCTGATGTGTATCATTATATTAGATCTGTGCGGTACATAGGTCTTAATAATATTGGCTGTCTGTTTATTTCTGTTCATTAATGTTAATCTAACAATTGTAGTATCATGGGGGGAAAAAAGTTGAACATATATTTTCCCTATAGAAATTTAGTTTTTACTTGGTGTGTGCCAAATTTGGTGGTATTACCAGTGATTTTAAGGTATGGTTGCTTGATGATTTTGTTTTGGTCACAAAATTGACTTTGCTTCCCTAAGCGACCTCAAAAAGGTATTGCTCTGTAATTTTTTGTCTGATTCCAACAAATCTTAATTTTGAAGATTTTTTAATAGAGAATGTGAAAATAATATTAATTTCTAATAAAATCATTTTTGAAAATGTGCTCATTGTGACTTATTTTGCCAGCACAGGTCACAAATGCTGATTTGGTTAAAAAAAAACAACATTTTTTTTTAATAATTAATAATTTCTTATCATTAATATTGTGAGCTTAATATTTTTGTGAAACATTCTTTTTCAGGATCTTGGGTTAATAGTAAGTTTTTAAAAAAAGCATTTATTTGAAAGAGGAATCTTTTGTAACATTATAAATATATTTGCTGAAAAATAGTATTCAATTCTTTTAAAAAAAAGTGTTTAAAAAAAGTGTTTTAAAAAGTGTTTACTTATTGTGGCTCTGCCTCTGAAAGTATTTTTCTTTTTTGTTGACATCAGCAAGAGTACATTAGTCAAGCCAATCAATTCCTGTTGATTAAAATAAAGTACAGTCCCTTTTTTTATTACATGTCATTTTTCATATGTCACAATACAGAAGTACAACTGTGAACACTTTTACATTAAAAACGTTTTACTTCAAATTCAATAGAACCCATTGAGCAGACATGTGTGAATCCTTCATAGCCCCCATTTCATTCAAAAGGTGAAGTAAGGTCTATGCAGATTGCAGATTGAAATTGTGCCCTTTCTTCTGATGAAAGAGTTGAAAACTGACCCAAAGATAATTATAATGAGACATCATTCCCTTCACTGGCTGACCATCAGTCACTGTCCTCCTCATGGGTGTAATAAAATCTTCCATTATTTCCCTGCTGCTGTCTCCTGCCAGCTGCCAGAACCTTCTTACTAGGTGGTAAATATAAAACTGCCTCAATGTCAGACTTTTGCTAAATGGCCCTTTAGGGACATTTTGTTTCAAATGAAGTGATATTACCGTCTTCGGAACATTCAGGAGCAGTTTTTAAGGTAGACAATTCTTTTTTTTTTTCAACTCCTTTTTCAGTCTTCTATTGGTGAGTTTTTAGGAAAGGCGATTGACGTGAATGGTTGTGTCGTTTTGGGAAACATACAGCGGTTGAGACCATTCTGTTTTTGTATGCCTTTAGGAGGGCAAACAGTTTTGCAGACCAGCAAAACACACTTGCATTGTTGAATGGAAAGCACACGCACAACACGCACACCGAGTCTATCTTTGTACTCACACCTGCAGTGTCTGGGGACCTGAGCTGAATGTGTCATCACTAAAGCTTGAGTGTGTGCGTGTATGTATAAGAAATAATGAGAAATACTGAGAGCTTCTGTTGTGCTGATTTCCCCTAACTTTGTCTGTGAGATAAAACAGATCTTACATTTTAAAACCATGTGATTAGTGGACTAATAACCCCCTGTTGTCATGTAACTGAACACATCAGAAGCTAAATAGTTTGGGACTTAATGTGATTTGCTTTAAAAAAAAGAAGCTGTGGCTGATGTCTTACACAGCTCTCAATCAGTACGTTTACATGCACAATAGAAAACCACTTATTGCCAGATATCAACATTCACGTTTGCATCTTGTCCACACTGCTTTTTCCCTGACTTATTCATGATTCAGGAAACAAAGCAAAATATGCTACTTGCTACTAAATGCATCAAACAAAACTAACCTGGCAGACCGAATGATCAGAAAAAGTAGAGATTTGTTAAAGTACTGGACATTTACCGTGCTTATACAGTTATTTGGATAAGTAGCATACTTATATGGACATGCAATTATTTGATGTCCATAAAATGAGAAGAAACAATATTCAAAGGTCCTGTTACTTTTACAGTTGTTTGTGATTTGCTGGATTGCTTGTAAAACAAACAAAAAAAGTTTAATATACTAGAAACATTTATATTCATTATAAAAATGCACGTGCAGTTTTATTTTAATAATTTACATGGCTATTAAAGGAGTAGTTCACTTTAAAAAAAAAACAAACTTTTGCTGATAATTTACTAACCCCCATGTCATCCAAGATGTCCACGTCTTTCTTTCTTTAGTCGAAAAGAAATTAAGGTTTTTGATGAAACCTTCCAGGAGATTCCAGGATTTTGGGAACCAAACGGTTCAAAGCTTCTATGGGCTTTAAACGACACCAGACGATGAATAAGGGTCTTATCTAGGACCCTTCGAGTCATGACTCAAAAAGATTTGTTCATTTTGATGAACAAGTTTTAATAGGAGAGTCACGAACGCTCATCACAGAACAGAGCAAGGCGAGCATTTGTGCTTATAAAACTTAAACCTTTCTATTTATTTTTTAAACGACTGATCGTTTCACTAGATAAGACCCTTATTCATCGTCTGGTGTCGTTTAAAGCCCTTTGAAGCTGCACTGAAACTCTCATTTGGACCTTAAACCGTTTGGTTCCCATTGAAGTCCATTATATGGAGAAAATCCTGGAATGTTTTCATCAAAAACCTTAATTTCTTTTCGACTGAAGAAAGAAAGATGAGGACATCTTGGAAGACATGTGGGTGAGTAAATGATCAGCAAAAGCTTTTTTAAAAGTGAACTACTCCTTTAAAGGTCTAGAAATCACACTTCTAAAATTAGGATTCCTATATCCAGATTTTTTAATACAATTACGGTTCTTCAAAGATTTTTTTTTTTTAATTATATCCTATTGATGCCTTTTGGAAGTTTGCTGAGACCCCAGAGTTGGCCCTGACCCCCATTCTGCCATAAAATGATAAAAGAGATATAAAACTAGCTCAGCTTTGTAGAAAATGTATTGCGTGAGTCAGTGATGGGTAATGCAGTTAGCAAAATTATGCAAACAATTGGCCAATCAGAATCCAGTTTGCCAGAGTGCCGTGTAAAAATACCAAACAGACTTAACAAACACATGCAGTGTATCTGGCAGTGACAGTGATAATGAAACGCCTCTATGGCACTAACATTTTCACCTGCGTGTGTGTGTGTGTGTGTGTGTGTGTGCCTTTTCTCATCTTCCACATATTCTACATCCATTTTAATTTACACATCCTTTTTTCTCCATTGTACAAGAATAGGGAGCAATAATGTAATTAATTTGGGTAGAGAATAATGGCCTATCTACACACACACACACACACACACACACACACACACACACTGCCATTTGAGAGTTCATTTCTGGAAACAACACTGAGCACTTTGTTAGTTTTTCTTCTTTTTTTTAAATAATGTTTGTACTTGTTTCTGGCTTTTAATGGATTGCATGATATCAAAGCTCTTATAAAACTACAATTTATTTGTATTTCCTAAAGTACATGAATGCATCTGAAATGGCTTGGATGTGAAACATGCTCTTTGGTTCACATTGCAGATACTGTTTGGTGGTCGCCCTGGGTTATCTTAGCTTCTGCCAAATCACCCGGGTTTACGTCTTTGATTACGGCATGTACTCTGCCGATTTCACAGGGTAAGAATATGCCTTTCTATGGTAGGTTTCTGAGCTTTATTGTCATTGTTGTGTACCCATTTTTTTTCTTTCTCTCTCCCTGACAGGCCGATGATGGTCATCACACAGAAGATAACCAGTGTGGCATTTGAGATCCATGATGGTGAGTGTTTGTTTGCTTAAATCCAAAACTTTCTGAATGCTGTTCCAGGCTGCTGTTGTGATTGTCAAATGTGCTGCCAAAGGGCCAGAGAAACTAATTAAAGAAATGGAAGGCAGTGGGATGAAATGAAAGCAAATGAAAACAAACCTCCCTCCTTCTCTTCACCCCCCTCTATTGTTCCACATGGTGATGACATATTACCCTTATGATGAGTGCTCACCATCTTGCACTTGCTTTTGCATTATTACCGTTATCATAAATTAGTTTCTTTGTCCTCTGCTGAGTTCATCTGCTGGCCTGCAAGCCTTTGTCATGGAGTTGCTTTTGAACGGAGCAGATTCCCTTAAGATTTGTCCTCTCTGCTGTAACCTCACTGGATATCTAGTGCAAGTGTAGGACTGGCTGATACTATGGCTAATATCGTGTCACATTTTTTTCTATACTGTTTATGCTGCACGAATAAAATTCAGAATTATTAGTTTATATTATTTTTCATATAGGTATTGTTTTAGTTTTTTGTTTTCACATTTAAATTGAAATAATTAATTTGTGGAGTCATTCAAATTTATGTAATATGTAATTTAAGTATAATATAATTGAAGTAAAATATAGTTTAGTTTAAATCTTACATGTTTGGTTTTTTGTCAATTAACAGAAAGAATTTTTCCTTTTTGAGTTTTTTTTAACAATAATAACTCCACACTGTTGGTGTTCGCAATATCTCACATTAATATAGAATTAGGTTGATGTGGTGTCACAGATGTGCCAGCTATGCGTTTTTAAATTCATGCTTTCGGAGTCTGCTTTTAGTTTGTTACACAACATGAAGCTATTTTTGCACTGATGCCAGACATATCATGTGTTCATTTGTTATGATTAATAATTTAGTTAATGTCTGTTACTGTGATGAAGTACATTTCATTTTGAAAGTGTTTAAAGGGGTACTCCACCCAAAAAAGAAAATTCTGTCATCATTTACTCACCCTCAAGTAGGGATGGGACGATAACCGGTTTCACGATAAACCGTGATAAAATGTACTGACGGTTAGTATTATCGTTTAAAATTTAATTATCATTAAAACCGTGTTTGATTATCGCGATTTTAATAACTCACTGAATCCTGTCGGCCAGTCTGACGCAGGCGCGCAGCACGCAATATTTTTTTTTAAATTACTATTCGAGAAGGAATGGTTCAGCCTTTTAAGAGGACCAAATCTGAGGTGTGGTCATATTTTGGGTTTTACAAAAAACGATTAAAAATAACTTTTGGAAATAACAATCCTGGACAGTGAGTGAGCTTACACATTAAGATAATATTGGATTTTCTCCAGTCATTGTTAAAAAACAAGCTAACAATCCTTGCTAACTAGCGTTAGTGAAGCGGCCAGATGGATCTTTCTGCCTCCACCTAAGCTCCGCCCACAAAAAAACGTCACCATGTTTACCAACTGTAAAAGGGTCTATAGAATCTTGGTTAAAAACTGCATAGAGAGGCTTGTTTTATTTGTTGTTTGTTGAATTTCAATTATAAAACTTGTTGAAATGTTTTCAGTGTGAGCATCAGTTCTTTTTGAGCACTTTCATAAATTTTTAACAAAACCGTGATAATATTGATAATCACGATTATTTTGGACACTATAATCGTGATATGAAATTTTCATACCGTCCCATCCCTACCCTCAAGTTGTTGCAAGAGTTTCTTTTTTCTGCTGAACACAAAGGAAGATATTTTGAAGAGTGATCTCTCAAACAGTTGTGGGGCACCATTAACTTACATAGAATTACTTGTTTTTTCTACTATGGAAGTCAATGATGCCAAACAACTGTTTGATTCCAATCGAAGAAAGAAACTCGTATAGGTTTTCTACAACTTGAGGGTGAGCAAATGATGACAGAATTTTCACTGGATTATCCAGAAATGGGTATTACCACGGTAGTTATTTTTCATCATTTTCCAGAACAAAAACCTATATTGTGGTATATTCTGCTAGCTTGAAATAAAATTACTCATTGGGTGATATAAATTGTATGTAAGCTATCTGGACAGGCCCAGGACTCTTATAAAGGGGTTTCACTCGCCTGTTGCCCCGAATAACCTGTCATTGATATTCCCTTTGGACCGTAGGACACTAATAGGACAAAGTCCCCAATAGAAGGCCTTGCTAAACTCCATCACTACCTCTTGTACATTTTGGGGCCTATTGTAAGTGAAGCTCTGTCTTTGCACTGCTGCTGCTCGCTGGGTAGCACATAAACCTTAATGAAAACTTTTTAAGTGGCTCTTCTTGTAATGTTCATAAGGCTTGCAAATGCAATACAATAAGAAGAAAGAATCCACTTACGATGGGTCGCCTTGCCTTGTCTTATCGTGTGTGTGCAGTAAGACCAACAACTGAGGCAGAGGAGACTCATGAGTCGACCACATGAACTCTGAGCCAAGTCAATTTACAGCACATTTCTTCCTTCTCTAATTCCCTCTGTAAATCAGAGAGGGGCCAGGCATTGTTAGATGAAACCACTTCTTACAAGCTCAGAAGCTGAGCAGGTACAATACTTGCTCTGTGCTCAGATTCAGATGTCAAGTTTTCCAGCAAAATTTTGTTTAAAGAAATATTTCTGCCAAAAAGTCTGTCATTATTTACTCAACCTTGTGACATTGTTTCTTCTGTGGAAAACAGAAAAAGGAGATCTTTTCAAATAATATTCTGGTTCATCTTTTCCATGAAGTCTGAATCACATATCAAAGTTCCTCAGACAAAATAAAGAAATCTACCATCTGGAACTTATTTATATATACATATACTTATTATTATAATTATTATTATTTTATGTTAACAGGAATGGCAAGAAAGGAAGATCAGCTCAACCAGGGTCAAAAACTGTTGGCTATAAGGTATGTAGATTTAAAAAGAAGCTTTAAATTAAATAATTTTTACTATACAAAGACAAAATTAAACTGAATGTATATGGTTGTGGTCTAGAAAAATAGTTGTTTTGCCCTTTATATTTATACCTGCAAGCTCAAGTCTACTAGATATGATGAAATGCAGTTCTAAAATCATCCTCTTTTCTTCCATGTTTGTGTTTCGTGCAGACGGATGCCCAGTTTATTGGAGTACTTCAGTTATAACTGTAATTTCATGGGCATATTGGCTGGTCCCACCTGCTCCTATAACGATTACATTGCCTTCATTGAGGGCACCCCCTATCGGCACAGAGAGCTTGAGACCAAGGGAAAAGTCAATGGGAAGAGCAGACTGAATGACCCATCACCAAATGTTCGTTTTACTTAGTCGTTTGTATTTTTCTTTTTAATAACTTCAGTTTGTACACAAAGTCACATCACAAATAGCATAAAGGCTGGAAAAATCTTCAAAAGTGTGGGCTCGGTATGGGTTTTCTTATGCTCACCAAGGATGCATTTATTGGATTGAAAATACAGTATGAACTGTTTAAAATTACAATTTAAAATCACTGTTTTCTATTTGTATATATTTTAAAATGTCATTTATTCCTATGAATTTTCAGTATCATTATTCCAGTCTTCAGTCACATGATCTTTCAGAAATTATTTTACGATACTAATTTTCTGCTCAAGGAACATTTATTATTATTGTCAATGTTAAAAAAACAGTTATGTTGCTTAATATGTTTGTGGTTTTTTTTTTCTCAGGAGACTTTGATAAACAAAGTTCAAAAGAACAGTATTTATTTGAAATAGAAATCGTGGGTAATAATGCAAACGTTCCAACTCTCATTTTTGATATATTGCATCCTTGTTGAATAATGTATTAATTTCTTCAAAAAACATACTCACCCCAAACTTTTGAATGGTATTTTGTGTTATCAATATGTTATATAAATCTATTCTTAAAATGTATATGATTGTCTTATTTCAAATTCATATCAGTTTGTGCATTTCTGTTTCTTAACAGACAGAGGTCATCCGAAAACTGGCCACCTGCTTCATCTCGTTGCTGGTCTTCCTCTCCGTCTGCAAAGTCTGTCCTGTGGAGCGTAACGTTGATGATGATTTTATTGCCACCACACCCTTCTATGCTCAGGTGGTCTACCTGTATTTGTCCATGCTGACCACCCGGCCTAAATACTACTTTGTTTGGACTCTGGGTGCGTGGATTTCCTGCCTCTCCTTCTCTTCCCGTCTGTCTAGCTTTCTCTCTCCTTTTCTTGTTTTGATCTATTTTGAAAGATAATAATTTGTCTAAGTTGATCTTCTCTTTTCTTCTATTATTGTGTTTTGATTATTAGCAGGAGCCTCATGCATCTAGTATTCTGAGGGGGAATAAGATATGATCAATCTGCAAAAAGACCGTTTAGGCGGTATATATATATATAGACACACACAAATGCACTCACCAGCCATTTTATTAGGTACACCTTGCTAGTACCGGGTTGAACCCCCTTTTGCCTTCAGATCTGCCTGAGGTCTTTGTGGCATAGATTCAACAAGGTGGCGGAAACATTGCTATATAGTCGGTCTATATTTACATGATACCATCACGCGGTTGCTGCAGATTTGTTGGCTGCACATCCATGATGCAAACCTCCTGTTCCACCACTTCCATTGAGATCTGGTGACTGTGGAGGCCATTTGAGTATAGTAGACTCATTGTCATGTTCAAGAAACCAGTTTGAGATTATTTGAGCTTTGTTACATGGCCTTATTCTTGCCGGAAGTATCAGAAGATGGGTTCACAGTGGTTATAAAGGGATGGACATGGCAAGCAACAATACTCAGGTAGGCAGTGGCGCTTAAACAATGCTCAATTTGTACTAAGGGACCAAAAGTGTGACAAGAAAATCCCCCCACACCTTTACACCACCACCAGCATGAATTGTTCATTCAAGGCAGGATGGAGCCATGCATCCATGTTGTTTACACCAAATTCTGCCCGTAACATCTGAATGTTGCAGCGGAAATCAAGACTCATCAGATCAGGCAACGTTTTTCCAATCTTCTATTGTCCAAATTTGGTGAGCCGTGCGATTTGTTGCCTCAGTTTTCTGTTCGTAGCTGACAGGAGTGATACCTCAGTTGTAATGAGTGGTTATTTGAGTTACTGTATAATAGATAATGCACCCAGCCACACTGCAACATTTTATTGAGGAAGCCTTGACCTCCAAAGACCCCAGATCTCAATGCTATTGAGCACTATGGGATATGCTGGACCCCCTCGCAGTTGCACGACTTAAAGGGTCTGCTCTTAATGTCTTGGTCAAGTCAAGTTACATTTATTTATGTAGCGCTTTTTACATGCTTTTTTGTATTAAAGCAGCTTCACAGTGATAACATGAAAACAATACGACACAGATCAATAATATTTTTGAATATTAAATGTCGTCAACTAAGCAAGCCAAAAGCAAGGCAACAGTGGCAAGGAACCAAAGCTCCATCAGGTGATTGAATGGAGAAAAAAAACCTTGGGAGAACCCAGGCTCATTGGGGGCCAGTTCTCCTCTGTAATTACAAAAAAAATTGGATCGAAACTTTAAGAGAATTTGTCCATTTTCATCCGTTTGTAGGTCGAAGTAATCACGCCGGTTTGGCTGTCGTGTCGATGAGGCCGGCACTTAAGATGAGTCGGGATGGGTCCAGGACCAGGTTCACCATAGAGGGTCCCTCGGGATAAACAGAGAAACTAATATTAGCGTAGACGCCATCCTTCTTTTGATGTATCAAGTACATCAGGATTTACGAGACGTGTTCCCGGTTCTGGCTGATCTAAGCTATGCTGCCTAATTTTGAATTTAGGAAGTCTATAGTGTGTTATGTGTATGCTAGGTGCCAGATACCACAGGACATGTTCAGAGGTTCATGCCTCAATGCAACAGCTGTTTTGACAGCACAAGGGGGTCCTACCCAATATTAGGAAGGTAGTTTTAATGTGGGTGATCAGTGTATGTATGTATTGGAATCTATTTGGCATATTAATGTCGCGTGACCCCTCATTTTGAATGGACATGAAGCTTCTGTTTGTTGGTCTGTTTTCCTATTTCCAAGTTGTCCTTTCTATCCTCCTAATGTGTTTTACTTATATCTGTTGAACCATACTGGAAAGAATAATCAAGCACGAGCAATATGTCTTTCACGTTCCATCATTATCATTTATGCTGTACCTCGGACATGATTAATTACACATTAGGATGCTTCATCCATCATCTCTTGTGAGGACTGGTTGTGTGACCCATTTGAATTGGGATCAACATCTTACACAACACAGACTTGGTCCTAATGGCTTGTGTTTTAATGCCCCCTTCAGACAAAAGATGGAACTGAAATTCATATTCATGTGCAACAATTCATTGTATGTTGTAAATAATGATTCATGAAATAGTAAGAACAAGATTTTACCATTATTTATAGTGCTTGCATTACACACGTCTTTGGAATTTGAAACACTACGTCAAACATATCCAGATTTCACTAAATGCCTAATTTGACAATTACATACTTGCTCAAATATAACTCTATATAAACGGATAAACAAGAAATTTTGGGTGTCATAACATTTATTATGAGAGTATCTTGACACTCATGCTGTATTTCAAATGCTGTATTTCCAAATAGCTGATGCCATCAACAACGCAGCAGGATTTGGCTTTAATGGCTACGACAGTGATGGTGTGCCTCGGTGGGATCTCATTTCCAACCTCAGGATCATGAATATAGAGGTCAGTTGAGCTACTGTTTTGTGTTGTTTTCCCCCCTGACCCTGAATGAATCAGAAGTGTCGTAATCAATCAAGTCAACTCTTTATTTTTTTTCAGCTTGCCACAAGCTTTAAGGTATTCCTGGATAACTGGAACATCCAAACAGCACATTGGCTAAAGAGGTGAGAACATGAAGAGCACATTGTGCTATTGTACAGTAATGTTAAAATGTTTTGGGGTTGATAAGAAATAAATACATTTGAGGCTGTATTTTTTTTTGCCAAAACCACTTTTAACCTGTAATAAGGAAATGTGATAATAATTTAATACAACTGTTTTCTAATTTTATATATTTTAAAATGTAATATACTCTATTCTTGTGATGGCAAAGCTGAATTTTCAGGATAATTACTCCAGTCTTCAGGATCACATGATCCTTCAGAAATATTCTAATATGCTGATTTGGTGCTCAAGAAATATGTTGGAAACAGCTGTGCTGCTTAGTATTTTTGTGGAAACCGTGATACATTTTTTTTTTCAGTATTCTTTTGTAACATTAATATAAAGTCACTGTCCCTTTTTATCAGTTTAATAAAAAATTATTAATATCTTTTAAAAATATCTTACTGGCCTCTTACTTTTGAACGATATTTTAATTACATGTACCTTCATAACTACACAAATTTTGTGCTTGTTTAAAATAATGGGTGACCAAGATTGAATGAGGAATATCACCACAGATCCATCTACTGTGGATTTTTCATAATTACCCAGTTCACAAGTTCACACTTGCATACAATTAAAGGGAGTGAAGTTTAATTCGTATTTGGAGTGCTGTTCTGGGGGAGGTCTCTGAGCTCGGAAATCGGTCCGAACCCAGAGTACTCCTCCCCCCGTATGTAAATGGTTAGGACTAGAAGAGTGGAGAAGGGGTGGTGGAGGGCTGCTGCTAAACTGTCAATGGAATGAGGTAAGACTGCTGAACCTAGATACACTTACCTACAGGATTATTAGGAACACCTGTTCAATTTCTCATTAATGCAATTATCAAATCAACCAATCACATGGCAGTTGCTTCAATGCATTTAGGGGTTTGGTCCTGGTCAAGACAATCTCCTGAACTCCAACCTGAATGTCAGAATGGGAAAGAAAGGTGATTTAAGCAATTTTGAGTGTGGCATGGTTGTTGGTGCCAGACGGGCCGGTCTGAGTATTTCACAATCTGCTCAATTACTGGGATTTTCACACACAACCATTTCTAGGGTTTACAAAGAATGGTGTGAAAAGGGAAAAACATCCAGTATGCGGCAGTCCTATGGGTGAAAATGCCTTGCTGATGCACGCACTACCTTGGGCTACAACAGCAGAAGACCCCATCAGGTACCACTCATCTCCACTACAAATGGGAATAAGAGACTACAATTTGCAAGAGCTCATCAAAATTGGACAGTTGGAGACTGGAAAAATGTTGCCTGGACTGACAAGTCTCGTTTTCTGTTGAGATATTCAGATGGTAGAGTCAGAATTTGGCGTAAACAGAATGAGAACATGGATCCATCATGCCTTGTTACCACTGTGCAGGCTGGTGGTCATGGTGTAATGGTGTGAGGAATGTTTTTTGTCACACTTTAGGCCCCTTAGTGCCAATTGGGAATCGTTTAAATGCCACGGCCTACCTGAGCATTGTTTTTGACCATGTTCATCCCTTTATGGCCACCATGTACCCATCCTCTGATGGCTACTTCCAGCAGGATAATGCACCATGTCACAAAGCTTGAATTATTTCAAATTGGTTTCTTGAACATGACAATGAGTTCACTGTACTAAAATGGCCCCCACAGACAGCAGATCTCAACCCAATAGAGCATCTTTGTGATGTGGAGGAACGGGAGCTTCGTGCCCTGGATGTGCATCACTCAAATCTCCATCAACTGCAAGATGCTATCCTATCAATATGGGCCAACATTTCTAAAGAATGCTTTCAGCACCTTGTTGAATCAATCCCACATGGAATTAAGGCAGTTTTGAAGTTGAAAGGGGGTCAAACACAGCATTAGTATGGTGTTCCTAATAATCCTTTAGGGGAGTGTACACCTCTCATTGATTGCTGAGTGCTCTCCTCCACCCGTGTTAATTATCTGAACGTGCTCCATAAAATATTATTTATGATCAATATTAACATGGAAACAATGGAAACTAAGATTCACAGCATTAGTTGAAAAGAGGAAGAATCATTTCCTTCCTCCTTTCATTTGAATGCTAAAATTATTATTGCATAGTGGTTTATTATGTGTGACACTGTGTTTGTCTTGTAGGGTGTGTTATGAACGTTGTCCTTACAATCCCACTGCTGCCACCTTCCTGCTGTCAGCCATGTGGCATGGAGCTTACCCGGGCTACTACCTCACCTTCCTCACTGGCATCGTCATCACTCTTGCAGCCAGAGCTGTGAGTGACATCACACTCTACCAAACATGAAATACTTTTCAGATAGGGAACATTCCTCTCACTTACATCAGATGTTGCCATTTGTTTTGCCATGAAGAGCACTGGGACTTTTCCCAGTGGGACGATTAACTTTTCTTATGACTGATGAAACCAAATGACATTGAAAAGTAAATATTTCCTCAGTGTGAATGAATGTGAGTGTGTGTAAAAATGCACTTGTGAAGTCGAACTGCCATGGATCAACACAAAATAGTAGCTTTTTACTTTTATCTGGGCTTTCAACAAAATTCGACACAGGTGCTAATCTACCAACAAAAGTATTCATTACATTTTTTAAATGGTCAAATTGTGAAATTTGTTAACTTTTTATGACTTTATAACTGCTGTTTTTTTTTTTTTTTTGATTTTTAGAACAAAATGTTCTAACTTCAATTTCTTCCTAAAGAAAATTTAAAGGGTGAAAAAAAATAACTCATCATGAATATCAGGGTCTCTGAGGGTTTACTTTTTATTCCTCCTTTCTTAATCTTGTGTTCCCTTTTCTCCTTCAGGTGAGGCACAATGTAAGACCGTACTTCTTGGGTTCGCCAACTCTCAAGTTTGTGTATGATGTCATCACATGGGCTGCCACACAGATTGCCATTTGTTACACAGTGGTTCCCTTTGTGCTGCTTTCTGTGGGCCCCTCGCTCAAGTTCTACAGGTTGGCAGGACAAACAAGGACCGAAACTAAAAATGCAGCACTTTTTTTGTCTTCATTCATGACATTCTGCTGTTTCCATCACTCTGTAGGTCCCGGTACTTCTGCATCCACATAGGCTGTATACTGCTGGCCATTGCTCTGCCTGTGAAACCACGCCACCTGCGGCTGAAAGAGCAACAGTCTGCTGTACAACCGAGCCTGGAGAGCACAGACAGCAACAGCAACCAGAAACCAAAAGCCACATGAGTCCTGGTACACCTTACCAAACTTCTCTACACACACAGACTGGGCAAATGTACCTATTCTCCAGCCACACATGAAGAGAGTCAGATAAACTAAAGCTCACAAATAAACCAACAAACCAGCCTTTATCTGGACTGATAGAGTAAGTCATCTCTTGACTCAGTATAGTGGTACTGGGATTCGACAGAGATTTGAGATGATGGAATCAAACCTGAGTCTGACTGCTATAAGAAGAGTTTTATTGCCAAGAAAACACTTGTATAGAATCATGTGACCTTGCCTTTATAATCCCACTTGTCACAGCAAGTATTAGTGTCCTAACCTGGTGGTCTTGTATCAGGTTGTAAATTGGATTTTCTTGCAATGGACAAGGCCTTTATCAGTTGGAAAAAGCAGGCAATATTATTTTTGAAGTTTTCACATCGCAGGGGTAAATATAAATATGACCAACTAAGCTAACAGGAAAAATAATAATGGATTTATTGGGAAAAGGAAGTTTAAAGAATGCAGGATGTCTGTGCAACAACAACAACAAAAAAAAAACGTTTAAATAATGTCCACAAATTTTAAGAAAAATTGGTTCTTTTTCCTAGTCAGAAAGTCTGAATTGAGATTTAATTCCATGGCTGAATCATTAAAACTGGGCTCTTTGCTCTTTGTCAATGTTATGTTTGTTATGGTCTGTTGTAATGTCTTGTCCATTTAGTCTTCACATAAACTCTGAAAGTTACACATAATACATTCCACTCTAAAGACCAGAGATTCTTTTCTCATAAATGAAAGTATTTCTCAGTCTAAACTGGGAATTTTGGGATGTTAGAGTAAAAAAAAAAGAAAAAGAAAAAGAAAAAAAAGATAGTACTGTTCATTGCATGACTTTTTCTGAGTCAGGCAGGCAGTGATTCTGTATGCACATTAATGCACATTTTGTATGGCATCAGTCAGCTTCAAAGTTCGGCCTGCTTAAGGTTGGAAATGAAGCTGATGTTCGTGTTAAAGTTTGATAAAATGATAGAGAATGTCCACTGGATTTGTTTGAACCATATTATGTTCGCTGTGTGGATCTGGTAAATTTTTTTTTTTTTTTTTTTTTTTTGCAAATTATGTGATTAAAAGAGGTCTTTTTTTCTACTATTTTGTGGTGTATTTGTTTTCTGATTAACTAATTTGCGAAGATAATGTGCATGCTGTAGTTACACATTAATTAATCTGTAGTAAAATATTTGAAACAAATTAATAATTTAACCTTCAGCATTCTCAAATGCATCAGCCTGAGCAGTCCTTGACATCTGCTCTTTGCTCTGCAGACATGCACCATGTACTTCGTGCACTACAGATAACAATGAGTTATTTGATCTTGCTGACCTGATATAGGGATATTACTTACACTACAATCACTTTTTATGTCCCGGGGAAGACTTTTATCTTTCTTTTTGTTGTTGTCTTGGATTTTTTAAATTTTTTTTATTTATTTATTATTATTTATGTTACATTTCAGTTAGGATAGATTTGTTTTCGGCTACTTTTTAATTAGAATAGATTTGTTTTACCCTTCATAACGTATGAGAAAGAATGTATAAGAACTATTCAAAATTAAAAATGTATTAAAAATATAATAAAGTTTCTTCATAAGATATATATATATATATATATATATAGGAGACAGGCATATCAGGGAAGAGATGTAATGATATGTGATGTGTGAAGGAAAAGGAAAATCAAGTTAAATAAAATAATAATACATTTATTTTAAATAGCACCTTTAAAAGTTGCTTTCTCAAAGCACTTTACAGGCAAACATAACTATGTATGCAAAAATATCACACTTTGAACAGAATCTTGACAAACAATATCTGTTTTTGTCAAATTATGCCTTTTTCTGTATTTAGTCAGCTAAGAAATAAGCCTTAGCAATGGCAAAACAAAGAGGTTGGCCATTCCCATCACAGAATGACATCAACACATCATTAGGTGGAAATGACATGTTTTGGTTTGCAAATGACACTGTTGGACATTAAACTAGTGAAAGTTATAAGTAACCCATATTTTTGTGTTGTTGTTGTTGTTGTTGTTTTCTGAAAGGTCACAGCTGGTTGATTATATAACAATGACTAGGCTAACTCCTGTGTAATCTAATGTAACATAACCCTTAGCTTTAGTAAATTAGATAACTGACATTAAATGTAACATTATATAAAACAGTATGTTTATATATAACTAGTCTATACACTAAACTATTACACACACACACACACACACACACACAAATATATACATATTTTATTTACAATTTTAAATTATCACATGCGTTCATGTGCTGAGCGGTGACGTCACACAGTATGTTGTCAGGGACTCGCCCGGGAGGAAGAAGCTTAAACAGCACAGCGCTTCGCTTCTTCAAAATGGCTGTTGTTAGAGATGGTGAATAGGAAGAAAGAAGCTCCGTAGACCGAAAAACTAGAGAGAAATACGCATCTCTAAACGGACCTTCTGACAACAGGACATTTCAACGTTTCTTTTCTGTGAGGTACGTCTCTTAGATGAAGGCAGACGCAAGGTTTAAATCGCTATTGTGCTTTGATGCCGCGTATGATTGACAGTTCATAATCTGTATAGTAACGAGCATCAAGCTGTAGAATTTAGCGTATTTGATATTATTTACAGCGAATAATATGTAGTTAGTAATGCTTGTGTAATACAGATAAGGTTAATTTGTTTAGGGTTGTTTTGATGGTGATTAATTGGCTTGTCTCATGCAGACATGTCGACAAGACACTGCCCTTCCTATTTATTTATAGAAATAACGTAGTGCTAGCATTAATATCAAAGTACAATATTTAGACAGTCAAATGTACCAGAATATATAGTCATTACCATGCAGATATAACGTACTGTTTTTGGACTCTTATTCACCCAGGTCCCATCTCACTATATATTAATTTATTTTTAGCCCTATCTATCTATCTATCTATCTATCTATCTATCTATCTATCTATCTATCTATCTATCTATCTATCTATCTATCTATCTATCTATCTATCTATCTATCTATCTATCTATCTATCTATCTATCTATCTATCTATCTGTCTGTCTATTTGTCTATCTGTCTGTCGGTCTGTCGGTCTGTCTGTCTAGGTTAATGTGTAATAAAGTGTATAGTACATTATAATTTATAACTGCAGGGCTGTCAATCATCTCAGCATCTTGCTGTGTAGACTAGGTGTGAGCCACTCTTGGTTGCCATAAATAATGCATGATGCCATTCCAGAGCAGACAGACAGAAGTCACAGCCAGCAATCTGCAGGCATTCAGACAAAAGCAGAGGACAGTGTGTGTGAAACTGTGCTGGGTGTATAGTGTCACATGGTGGTTTATAAGAATAACTTTGGTGTCATGTTTCATAGATTCCTGACTCCGCTGGCATATTCTCTTTGTTGTTGTCCGTTTGTTTGTTGCTGCCCGTCTGTTCCCCCACCCCTCTTTTATATAGCCTGTGTTGAAGGTTAAATTGAGGGTCACATACTGGCACACATCAAATAAAGATCAAATGCTGTAAAACATCTATAATAATATTTGCATTGGTTTGTGGTCTGTATTGAGCAATCGATTAGAGTATGCTGTCTTTTCGCTAGACAATTATTTGCAGTAGCCCTCCTATGGTGTTGCAGGTCAGTTTGAGCTACACTCGAAACTGCTTGAAATACTGGTCAAAGTTGAACAATTATTTTTTATTTAATAAATGTGCATGCAAACAATGTAGATGTGTTTTTGAAAAGCTGCAAATTTTCATAGATCATTTTGTTACATCGATTACAATGCCCCCCCCCCCCCCATTGATTTCTGTGCAATTCACCAAATTTTCATGCAATTTAGCACTTTGAAAAACAGCAAAGAGTTAGGTAAAAATAAACAAACAACAAAAACAAAAAGCCTTTATTGTAGCTTGTTAAAGACTAATATAAATTTACCATCTCAAAGTCAAAGATTAGAGATCCAGACACAAAGGTAGAGGCTAGTTACACACCAAGTACAAATAGCAATAAATACTAGGCTACTCATACAAAGTACATAATATTTATTCTTAGTTGTAGTTATTTGCACCTCAGTGTGCAAATAACCTACAAGTTGGCATTACATAAAAGTTCATTATATATATATATATATATATATATATATATATATATATGCTACAATTGAGGTTTTCAGTTTTTTCTTGAATATTAATTTATTATTATTATTTTTTTTTTTTTGGTAGCATTGATTTTGGGTGAATTTGTCCCACAACACAAAAGGCATTCCCCAATTTTCAACAAAACTTTGGGAAATGGGAAAAAATATTAGTGAGAGTGAGTGTTTCTGTGGAGATGTTTGGACAAAATTAATGTTATTCTGTGTTATGCTTATCTGTGCCAGCCTCCTTTCTCATGACATTTAAAGGCCATGGCCTGTCTGTTCTTGGCCTGCACTGTGAACAAATGCTCTGGTATCACCTGTCACTTGAATTCAAACTCAATTTAACATCTCTAGCACTTAATCTCAAAGAGTTTCATATCAGTTACTTATTTTGTTATTTTCTTTCATCCTCCAACAACCTATTGTGATATGCAGTTTAGGTCTCTGTTCGCAATTTATGTACTGAAAGTGACTAAATGAGTTTCTACCCAGGCTGTCCTAGGTACTGGCAATCATGGACACCACAACCTCCATCAAGATGACCACTCTGGCCATCCAGAACCTCTTCAGCTACGTGGAGGAAGAAAATCTGGCTGCTGTAAAAGCCCATCTAGACAAGTTCAAAGAGGTGGATGGTCGTAGCGATGTAAGTTGCTTTGAAGAAAGTCACACATGATTTAAGATGTTCATCTAAATTGTTCAGATATCATTTATCTGTCTTTCTCATTGTGTCTTTGACAGAATGGACAGACTCCTCTGATGTTGGCCTCGGAGCAGGGCAGTCTTGAGATTGTTCAAGAGCTCATCCGAAGGGGAGCAAACGTCAACTTGGATGATGTGGTGAGAAAATGCCCACATAACTGCTTTACAATAAGAGTTGTTAGAAAGTTACAGTAACACTTTAGTTTAGGGTCCACTTCTCACTATTAACTAGTTGCTTATTAGCATGCATATTACTAGGATATTGGCTGTTTATTGCTACATATAAAGCACATATTAATGCCTTATTCTACATGACCTTATTCTACATCCCTTAATCCTACCCAATGCCTAAACTTTTCAACTACCTTACCAACAATTAATGAGTAATTAGGAGTTTATTGAGGTAAAAGTCATAGTTTATAGTTAGTAAATAATGAGAATTGGACCCTAAACTAAAGTTCGACTGAAGTTACATATTATAGTATTATGCTATATCGATGTTCATATTATGGATAGCCATATATCAGCAGTATATTAGTATTGTTTCTATATTTATTATAGAAATCTAGTCTTCTGAATTTCTGATTTTCGTAGTATTTGGTACAATGTGTCCTTTTACTTTTACAACAGCAGTCTTCTTCATAGCATTTCCCTTTATTATTTATTCAATATCCTGAAATTTCCTGAAGCCTGTTTATATCCTTATTTTATTTTCAGACTTATTTTTGTTACATATTTATAATCTGTATGAGGTAAAGTGCCCATTATAACAATGCTGTAAGGCTGTTCTTTGTAGTATAGCTCCATCACTGTTCCCATGGCGACATTGCCAGTGGTTCAATAGTTTCCATAGCAACCCGTCTTTGTGCCTCTCCCTGATAGGACTGCTGGTCCGCTCTAATCTCTGCAGCTAAAGAGGGGCATGTGGAGGTGGTGAAAGAGCTACTGGAAAACAGTGCATATATTGAGCACAGAGACTCGGTGAGAAACTCAATGCTTTAAAAAATGCTTTATTTAGTACCATAATCACATTTGAAAAAAATAACACAAACTTAATGAGATGGGTTTGTGTCGTGCAGGGTGGTTGGACTGCCCTTACTTGGGCGTCATATAAAAATAGAGTTGAGGTGGCCACGGTCCTGCTAGAAAATGGGGCAAACCCAATCACCACTGGACTGGTAAAGATGCAAAAACTTATCAATTGCCTTTCCACATATGAGACAAGCACAGACACACAAATGATATAATGAATCCA